GACCGGAAGGTCCGTGGTTCGAACCCGACCTCCGCCACTCGACTTCCCCTGTCTAGGCTTGGGCACCCTGACAGTATCCCAGCCCTCGTGCTTCCTTCGGGTGGCATGGCAGCTAGGCACAGAAAGGGCGCTACAGCTGAACGTGGCGTAGGCGTGACATAAGCTTCTCTGTCAAGGGTCGAGTTTACAACGCTACGGTGCGCTCCATATTACTATATGGATCAGAAACCTGGTCGCTGCGCGCCGAGGACGTCAAAAGACTTTCAGTGTTTGACCATCGATGTCTTCGGAGCATTGCCCGAATCTGGTGGGAACACCGGATCAGTAATTCTGAAGTACGTCGAATGGTATTTGGGAGAAATAACTCACCCCCGATAGATGAACTGATCACACTGCACAGTTTGCGCTGGCTTGGCCGCGTGCTGCGTATGCCAGTCGACCGACTTCCTCGAAGGGCTCTTTTCGCCCAACCATGTGAAGGTTGGAAGAGAGCTAGAGGCGCTCAACCAATGACTTGGCAGCGAAGTATAAAAGCCATTACCAGGAAATCTCAGCTGCGCTCGTCATTGCCGCCTTCCTGGATGGGAACCCGGAGACAGGCCATATCAATGGTTGGAGGCATTGTCAGACATGGGCCAGTCGCGCCCTCAATGGCGCTCGTGCATTCAAGCTATTGCCTTCAATGCATAGCTCCTTTTCCAACCCCCTCACTACTTGACAGCCCACTGAGTGCTGGATTTATGCACCAACTTATCAGCTCCCGCCTGCAACGCGCAGCTACTTACCCCTCCCCCCCCAAACCATCGGTGAACGAAACTGCGGCAGCTACAACCACAGTACGACGAGTACGCGGTTATTACAGCTGACAGTGACGATGATGATGTTAATTACGCCTTGTAATGTCTCTGTTTGACGCGAGTTTATTGTGCTCCTACGTGCGTCGAACACACAGCAGTGTGATCAAAGTTATTTGAATACCTCAGTAGGATGAGCAGTCCTGGACACAGACTACCCGGCAGGAGCTGATTGCAACGTAGTCAATCTGCGTCAGTCGTCGGTTCCAAAAAAAGATTGTGAGCGACGAGTGAGACTTGCGTACGCGGTGACGGAAAACTGTGCTAAATAGCAGCAAACTATTCTTGGCATAAAAAAGGTAGCAACCGTTCCAAGTAACAATTGCACTGAGCGCCTAAAGAATGTAGGCCGCCTACGCTAATCAAGTCCAGATCCAGTTTGCCAAGCTGAGTATTCATGCCTCCGGTCTAAACCAAAATATTTGTACTGGATGTATTGTTTGAAACGTCCTGCAAGTACCGATCGAATTCGTCCTCTTCGACACTACACCCGAAGTTGTTTGGATTGTATGTGGCTACGACAGTAGTCATGGTGAATGAGTTTGTTGATGGTCACATTAGCGTTTCTCTGTCAGATCACGATCTAGCTTTTCCTAGACCATGCAGAGTTTGAAAAAAAGGATATGCGAGGCAGACGATCCTCAATCACATAAAGCAGATGACCAAACCAGTTCGATGTGTGGAGTGTCGTCAGCTCATCTACCGCTCATATGCGTACCCATCAGTCCCCCGAACAAGAATCACCCACGAGGAACCGTCCACCTAGACTTGGCTGAGGAGAGGCGGTCTCTGTTGAAGGGACACCCTGTGTCGATCGTATGAACGAATACTAATTTACGTTTCAAATTTTGATGCTAATCTGGTCACACACTGAGGCTGGTGCAGTAACATTGTAGAACATTGTAGAACATTATAGAACCCGCAATATAACGAGACCATCGTCATAGTTCATAGACACCGACATCACGAGGGAACCCTTAAAAAAACCGTCACCTTACAAACACTAATTGAAATCGCATCGAATTTATATGCGCCCCCGATTGTGGAGGGTCTGCCAAGTGGGTGGTACGTCTAAAAGCTGTTTAGATCCGTATTAAGTCTACAGATGTGCAGGGAACGTTGAACAGGTGATATGCATGGTGCGGCACCACTAAGCAATATTCCGGCTGAAGGTTCTAATGTGAGACCTTGGAGTCAAGGATGTGGGATTCCACGTGTTTCTGGAAACATCGGCCGTAAAAAAAACACGCTGTTAGCAGTATGGAGAGGAGAGTTGGAAATTGCTACCAATAGTTCGTCCTCCAATTGCGGTTCATCTGTACCGAAATACCGAAAAGCACTCTATACAACTGTTTTATCCTTGGAATATCATAACTAGTGCACATCTTACGAATCTCCAGGTAGATTCGAACCCGCAGCCTTCCGGCTAGTAGTTGGGAGGCTAAACAGTTGGTGGGGGCTGTGTGGGCGATCGAACAACATTCATACCGGTCTCGTATTGAATAAGTGGATGCTGATGCGCGCAGTCAGCTCTTAATTTTGATGGCGAGAAGGAAGTACATCCCACCAGTAAACCTTCAGTGGAGACATCGCAAGTTGTGGTAGCCGACCGTTATCAGTGGTGTTCATACTGTCAATTTCTATTCAGTCAATTTCTATTCTTGGGCTAAGTGCTCGAGGTGGATCTGGGTGGCAGCCGCCGAATGCCTGCTTTTGTCGATTTTCATCAGAGGGACCGTATGAATAACACACTGCTTCCAAACTGCGTTGGTGAATTCTTACAGGACATTGATGTAATACGTATCACAACAGAAAGCTTTACAAGTTGCAGGAAGTAGCCTAAAATCTATTAGACTCCTTCCATCAGGGTGGAGGGGTGGTAAACTGTGGTCAAGTTCACCTCCCATAAATAACTTCCTACTTACAACGTCTTGACGCCATTTGCCCCATGCTGTATCCAGTTGAACAACGCAGGACACGTCAGACAGTTGTTGGGTGTATACAAGCAAGCAAAACTCACACAAGCGCACGTAGGAATTCGAAGACTGAGTGGTACCACGGCCGCGTCCTCGAGATTGCCTGGATGCCATTGGCCTCTGCAACAAGGATGGTGAACGTCTGGAGAAGAAATGTTCCGATGGGATAGGACGATCAGCACGCTTTTCACCAGAATGCATTCGACTAGAAAGGAGGAAGATTTAGCGGTTCATGAGAGAGGGAAAACAGTGTGGCAGCAGTGATTAGCCATGATACCCAGCATCCGAAACAAGTACGTGAGTAATCCGTTCATCCACACTAGATACTCTTGACATAGTTGATGCACTAGAAGTGAACATAAACCGTTCCGCGTTCTACACTGCGCAGCGTAACAAAAGCATCAATGAGACATAGGCAAGCCAGGGGTCCTGTAGCGTTTACATCAAAATTATCAGCGAGCCTTGTATTCAACCAGCCTAGAAAGGTACATAAAAGTTACGAATCGAAAACGCGACAGCAGCGGTCTACATCAGGGGGCCGTGTATACGACTCAATGCAGAGCCAAAGATGGTTAAACTCGTTCCCACGACAAGTATGGTGAACCTAGTAAAACCACCCAGGTCGACATCTAAGATAAATTAGGATTAGCCTGCTAACCAGTGCCTCCAAGCTATGAGCCAAGAAGTTTCGGTTCCGAAATCGAATTCGAGTAGACTGGGCAAATAATAACTGGTGGAGGTTTGTGATTGATTCAAATGAAACTGTATCAATCGAGTCACGTAAAAAGGGTTCTCTTCAGAGCGGGATTATACGAACTTTCAACCACGGAAATGAACGTGGTTAGGCCGCACTACTTCACATGTGAGAATACACTACTCAGTGTCGAGTTATTTTTATGGAGACAAACAACATAATCACTCAGCTGGGAAACTTTTAGAGCTGATCGGGAAGTCACTTCGGGCTATTTTTCAAACTCTGCTGAAACAACAACATAATCAGCTGTTAGGTTTGTGAACAAACGTACAGCGGGTATAGCTGCTAAGTTTACCGGGGCACTCGGAGGTGGATAGAGCTGCATGCATCTGGGCGCGTCCACACGTTTTAACGCAGAAACAGTTAGAAAAGGGCTAGATGTCAAGTGATGACCAAGTGATCACAAACAAATGGTGACGAACAGGTTGGTTTTCCTATGGGAAAGTGCGCTTTCCACTTGGTCAAGTCGTGTCAGTACAGAAGAATCGAACATTCAAACAGATATTCACTAGCGACAAGAAATAGAACATAAGGTTGATGGAAACTCGAGGAGTGCGCCCACCTAATGAGCCCCAAGAAGGGCGAAACCGGTGGTGGGCTGTCCAAGGGTTTTCAGCAACCTGGTGAGTAGTTTCCCTTATGAAAATACACAGCGATGTCTCGAATATCATATCAACTGAAACATTAGCCGGCCTTTGTGTAGCACATTCAGTTGAAGAACATGAAAAAACGGGAGATTTACTTGAGTCTTCCGTAAAAACCAAACTGATTCGTATTTAGCGCAATCAGTCCAATTTGGGTTCAAGTAGAACATAAGGTTGATGGAAACTCGAGGAGTGCGCCCACCTAATGAGCCCCAAGAAGGGCGAAACCGGTGGTGGGCTGTCCAAGGGTTTTCAGCAACCTGGTGAGTAGTTTCCCTTATGAAAATACACAGCGATATCTCGAATATCATATCAACTGAAACATTAGCCGGCCTTTGTGTAGCACATTCAGTTGAAGAACATCAAAAAATGAAAGAATCGCTTAAGTCTCCCGTGAAAACCAAATTGATTTGCAAAAGAGTTTAGTGATCAGACCGATTTGAGTGCAAGTAGAACATGAGGTTGACGGAAACTCGAGGAGTGCACCCACCTGATGAGCCCCAAGAAGGGCGAACTGTCCAAGAGTTTTTAGCAACCTTGAGAGTAGTTTCTTTTACGAAGGTATTCACTAGATTTTTATTCTGAACAGGAATCAGAGAACAAAAGATAATTCATCCATTTCACTCGGTATCATGAGTTAAGAAGGTAGTTGAAAGTCAACCTGTGCACCGAGGAAGTCCTTTTGCTTGAGGTCGGACCAATTGTTGCTACATTCAGCAGATGTTTCATGGGTAATATGCACATACGAGCAACGATGTGCTCTAATGTCCCAAGGCCACCTTAGCCAATATCACGTCAGCCATGAAGTGACATGAAACCACTGAAGTAAGCAAGTTCGGCTGCAACACGTTCGTTCCTTAACACTTGAACGCAAACTGCTCGATCGAAAGTAGAGAAGAAAAACGGTCGTCAGCGCTTGAACTTCGTCAGATGAGTAGGAGGTTGCAAATTAAGCGCGAGGCACAGGTAGTCATGGTAACTAGTCACAACAAGACAGCACTGAAAAAACTATACGCACAGTAAGCAGTTGTTGCGCCTGTCCTAGCTGAACGAAATACAGAGACAGGCGAAAGCAGACTTCGGATAGCCCAACTACCGAACTGTCCAACTTCATTACGAAATGGACTAGTTAGATGAACACAGTTGGCCACAGTCATGACAAACGAATCGCATTGGTGTAGCAAAACGGAACCAAAGTCTGGCTCACGATGGAAGCCAAGTAGGAGTTTACCAGTGATGATGACAGTCCGATTTTGAATGAATTACGATTATTCAGTACGGCGTCTGGCTGGCAGATGCTACTCGCATCATCTCACTTATCTGGTGCAGTGCAGAAAGCTTAATACAAACCAACTTCGAAGAACCAGTCAGTACCAGTTGATGCGGTGGAAATCCGCGCAGATGGAGGATGAGCGGCACTAAATCTTGTCCAAGCGCTCAGTGACCACACTGTCAATCGGTCACACGTGACACAGCGCTAGAGTTCAACCTACAGCTCCAAAAGTCTCACGTTCGAATCATGATAAGGAATCACCGCAAAAACTACATACCTTACTTGTCTTCCACAATACCAGGTTTCGTTCAGTTCAGAAAGCCAGCTATAAACCACGTATCAAAAGTGCAATTCCAAGAGCCACATGAGCCTGAATAATAGGTCAATACAAACCCAGGACGTGGCTGAATACACTACACTTCTCCACATTTTGCTCAACAGCCATATCCATTGCCAGTTAAACAATCTGAATCGTTTGTCTCATCATAATAAACAAATAACCACAATCGCTCGTCCTTTTGGTGTCTAGCTGCCATGCCACCTGAACTAGGCACGAGGGCTGAGGTACTTCCAGGTTGCCCAAGTCTAGACAAGAGTGGTCGAGATGCTGAAGTAGGGTTCCAAACATGGACCTTCCGGTCCGTTAACCAATGAGCTATCCCGAGCTCAATATAGCTCTCCAATCACCGCGTCTCGTCCAATGCAATCATAATGGGTGGGATAAAACACGCGGACACACCACTTGAACACCTTTAGTTAAGGATCGGCAACCATATGCCAGACCACATACAGTATGGCCCCAAGCATCACATTTTAAGATTATACGGGCGAAGGTAGTACTTCACGGAGTGATTTGATACCGAAGTCATGTGATTCGTTATCACACCGGAAGCTGAGTAGCAGCTCGACGGTTTCAAAGTGTCCTTCATCAAATTTTGAACTAATTTGATATCTCAGTGATTAGAGCACAAATTTACTGGCCAGAAGGTCCGTGGTTCGAACCCGACCTCCGCAGTCCAGGCTTGGGCAACCTGACAGTATCCCATCCCTCGTGCTTCCTTCCGGTGGTATGGCAGATAGGCACCGAAAGGGTGTAATAGACAAACCAATATTATTTATTATCGACGTCACATTGGATTGATACCAGTCGACATATTCGGTATCGTTTTTCAAGATATTGTTAGCCAAAAAAGACGTAGGAACTCTATATAAAGATGTAACGAAATAGAACGGAGGTTTCTAGCTGAATCCACCCACCGTTATCCAACTGATACGGTCCAAACCATTGGACACGGTTCATAGCTGAACCATTTGATTTGACATAAAGCATGGACCAACTGCCACTACTGCTTGGTCTCTATTGATAATGGGGACAAACAAAACGAAGAACGTACCCGCGATTAGAACCACGAGGAGGGGAAAATGACGCTGGATCGCCATTCCGTATGGGTCGCTTGTTTGTGTCAAAACATTTTTGTTTTAACACAGATGGGGGTGGTCCCAAACAGGCATACTCATTTTTGAATGTAATACGTAGTTCTGGGTCATGTGGTCTACAGGAAACCACACGGGCTGTGTCAGGCGCATTCAAGAACCGACCACGGGGAAACCGGTATGTCGAATCAGCGTACATTCCACCACCGACTTCTGAAGAGGCGGGTTAGTGTGGCTGTAAGAAAAGCGCAAAAAAACTTGAACAACTATCCATTGTATATAGAAAACTGTCCAAAAGGCTTCAAATTTCCGAGACGGAAGTTGGAATTTACGACAGTTACTTTAAGAGGCTCTAGAGTGAAGGATAGGCGTTCGACTTTCCTTAACAGCGGCCACTCCTTGGGGTCATCACATGCCAAATTACGACTGGCGCGGAACGTCATTGTGGGTATTCAATCAGGAATAATCCTCGTTTCAGAAGAGCTTGATAAACAATCGGTAGTTTTTATTTGGGCAACGCTTCGCTCTTGACGCAAAAGCTTCATCAGGCCAAGTTAGCGGGTCATCAAATTGGCCAGGTTATAAGACAGACAGGGAACTAATCAGTAATTCGGTCCTCTTCAGATTATCACACTAGGTCAATTAACGGCTCTTGTCGGTTGATGTGGTTGTCAATATCTTGCTTGGTGGATTGGGGAAGTTTCAAATCAATTCTACTCAGGCTTGGTCCGCTAATCTTCCACTTCAGGGTGCTTCAACTGATGATTCACCTCGGGTGCCATTGGTAGATTTTTCTTGGTCTTTGTGGGATCGTGAGTGCTCCGACAATTTAGTTTGGGGGGGGGGTTGAGGTCAGTGCTATTCGGATGATGACTATTCTTCTTTCTGATAAGCGCACTCCAACACGTGTCAGCTCTACTGATCCAAAACCGTTCTTCGCATGCTTGCCAGTCCACGCCTTCTATTCTGTTAACACTGGGATGCTTAGCGATTCCTACCGCTTCGGCTATCACTCTCTGTGACCTCACCTCAAAACCTCAACATTTTCTAAGTCTATTTTGTGTCCCATGTCCAGTGCATGTTCCGCGATTGCCTAGTCTTTCAGTAACGCTTGATGTTCATCTGCTCTTCTAAAACGATGAATTCTCAATCGGCCCCAAACGGAAACAGTCCTTTTTTGAATAGACTACTGCAACTCGGTGAAGCACGGTTGGACAGGGATACCTATGAGTGATGGGAATGCAAGAAAATGAATTCCCCCCACAGAAGTTCAACTCTGGACCTCAAGACCATGAACTGAAATGTACTGTTTGTATAAACCTTTTAAGTGAATCCCAAACTTGCAAAAGCCAATATAAACATCAGAGTAACTAGTAGAAATGGCCTATAGAATAGCATCGGGGTGTAAATCGTAAAGCCAATCGCAATGCTCGGCACAAATGTAAACAAGGAAAAGACTTTCTGCCCTTCAGCTCCATTAGCCATGTAAGAGGTTGTCTTTGACGATCACTCACAGTGCACAGAAAGGTTTATCGGAATTCGCAGACGGCCCCCTACAGCCGTTTGGCTCTCAACTATCCTTGTTTCTTACAAGAGTGTCAGTCAAAACATGAGCTGGATAAATAACTTGATTCATACTCTAATGAAACAACTGACTCGTCTTTCACATTCCTCAAGGTACTTTGCAGCGAGAAGGCACGCGCCTAGTAGTTAAGTAGGACCGACCGACTGCAATTTATGTGTATATAGGGGGAGAAGATTAGACAGAATTCTTCAACAATCCTGTTTGTAGTTCGCCAAGTAGGGTCACCCAAGAGGCCAAATCGAATATCACCTTTTGGTCCGGTGGTTTGGATATCAAATCGACACAAAGTCAGTAGTTGAACCCAGCCCGGTGGATAAGGGCTGTGAACAGTGCTCGATGACGGAGTATTCGTAAAGTAAGCCGTGTTAAACATCGAACAGTGACTCCAACTGTATTCCATTAGATGGCCTCCCGGCAGTAATGAGACACTAGATCCATCCACACCATTTGTAATTCGCTGATTATGCAGGTGTAAATTTCAACAGGACGTTCTCCCGTAACAAAATCCACAAACAATCAGTGCCAAAGGTAAACTACGCACATAACAACCGGTCGTTCGAAGTGGAAAAACAAAGAGGATAGTAAGGCCTCGGATGCAAAACAATAGGAAGAACATAGCCCAAACAAGAGCAAAACCAGAACCTGGCACAAATAAAGCCCTGATAGGAAGACATGAAGTATGGGAAATGCTATGTTTTATACAACCCAGAGTCATATGAATAAAAGAACATCGAACAGTGACTCCAACTGTATTCCATTAGATGGCCTCCCGGCAGTAATGAGACACTAGATCCATCCACACCATTTGTAATTCGCTGATTATGCAGGTGTAAATTTCAACAGGACGTTCTCCCGTAACAAAATCCACAAACAATCAGTGCCAAAGGTGAACTACGCACATAACAACCGGTCGTTCGAAGTGGAAAAACAAAGAGGATAGTAAGGCCTCGGATGCAAAACAATAGGAAGAACATAGCCCAAACAAGAGCAAAACCAGAACCTGGCACAAATAAAGCCCTGATAGGAAGACATGAAGTATGGGAAATGCTATGTTTTATACAACCCAGAGTCATATGAATCGAATAAAAGATCAGAGACTTATGTGACGATCGGCTGCATATTAACAAATGTGCAGTCCAAAAGAGAGAGGAATCCATAACTACGACGACCCCGAAAGGACTGTTCAACAACCCGGTAAGATGGGAACACTCATAACACGCTACACCAGTTCACAGTAACGACTCCTGAAGAAGCAGATGAGTCTTCATCAAATGTGTCAGGTAACAGCTTAAAAAGGGATCCGAGCCCCTTACACCATTGTAGTCGATTACTTTAGCTGAAATCATCGCTGCCCCAAGGTTAGTTTTTTTTCAAACTGCGCTACATTGTCCAGCTCCTGATGGACTGCATTTGCCACGTTGTCACAGTTTAAAAAAGGATAAAAGAACCTAGCTTAATTGTACAAATATAAAGAGGTTTTCAATCACTTCCGAAGTAGATGAAAGCGTGGTGACTGAGACAGTAGATAGCCCAATGAAAAATATCAGCTTGTGAATAGATCGTCGAACGGGTTCCGAAGGGATCACTCATCACTCTCACCACCAATCTGATGTAAGTCCGCTTATCCAAAATGATATTTCAACGAATCCTTTCCCAAAGTTGTCACCTAATCACGATGGTCGGGCTTCAGTGCTGCAATGATCCTCCAGCTTTTCTTGGCTGGAACTCAGTTCCTAAAGGCCAACCATGCGTCCAACCATGCCAAGAAGGCCAACAGGGAGCAGTCGGACAAAAAACAGTCCCCGTACTGCAAATAATCGTATTACGAGGCGGTCTGGAGGTAAAGTCGCACTGTCCTTTGCGATAGAAGTGTAAAGGCGGCAAGGCGTTTCCCCCAGGCGACCAGCATGTTCATTTTTGTGGAAGCAGTGATATTGCCTTCCCCCGAGAAAGGACGGGTCAGAAAAAGCCGGCATTAAAAACCTCACGCTCCGACTACCCAACGGTTGACCGTGACCGCCGGCGCATTAGTCAACACGGTCGAAGTACTTTTAAAACCAGAGACCAGTGTTACTCAAAAGGCACTTGCTGTGCGCAGCTGCACCAGGAGTGAGAGGGTAATGCCCTACTCCCGGTGGCCTCGGGCCAGACCGACTAAGTGGGCCGGAATATTGAGTCACCGGGAAGTGTCCCCCGAGAAAACGCTAACAACCGCTGTCTCGCGGTTCAGACTCTCAAGTCAGAGGCTAGGGACAGGGTCCCCGAGCAAAACCTCACAACCTCCCACCGCATTGTGAGCCACACTTTTGGGGTACCTCAACTAAACCCCCTTCCTCGGCATAAGCAGCCGGAAGGTATCATTCGCCTTTCGGTGCCTAGTTGCCATGCCACCCGAAAAAGGCATGAGGGCCGTGATACTGCCAGGTTGCCCAAGCCTGGATAGGTGAAGTCGACAGACAGAGGTCGGGTTCGAACCGCGGACCATCCGGTCAGTAAATTCGCGCTCTAACCACTTGAGCCATCTCGTACCGAAGTCGAGAGACAGAAGCCGGATTCGAATCACAGACCTTCCGGTGAGAAAATTCGCGCTCTACCCACTTGATCCATCTCTACTTTGCAGCTCCCCGCTCTCTGGCCTTCTCTCTCCCCACCCGCCGGACAATACAATGCCACCAACAAACCTAACGAGCCTCGTGCCTAAAACGCCCCTAAGAAAAATAAACCAAATTAGTCACTAAATTACATTACAGCCTCTAATGTCCGTACTCTATGTCAAATTAAGTAAAGGGCATCCCTTACTGAAACCTTGCTTTCCCTATCTGTCGAAGTATGTTGTATCCAATTCGACTGTGCACCTCAAACCACTTAGGATATTTTACATTTCATTCTTCCGGTATCCAGGGGTCCTGACACAATGGACCGTGGTATCTACAATGTGGAAATTGCATCCAGCACAAAAGCTGAAAGCGCCTTACTGGACTGGATCTAAGCAAACAGTCGGGTTTGTGCTGTGCGGTTGCTGGCTCAATTTAGGTCAATGCAGGTCGATGCGGTAAGTGGTGTTTATTTGCCATATCGGCGTACGCCCTGACAGATTGCACTTCTGAGACTGAGAAGGACGGTTTTAGCAAGAGTTGTCGCGATTGCCTCAATCAGAAAGACGGATATAGTAATGCTGCCGGGGTGATATGAATGCCCAAGTCGGAAGAATAAGTCCGGAAGAAGTGTGAGTGGTAGATATGTAGTTGATGCTTAGCGTACGGATCATGGGAGAGCGACTGCCTTCATTGTGTGCAGATCATCATCGGTTCCTGGCCTGTAAAAACTCAACACATCACGTTACTTGGAAGTCGCCAACGGCAAGACAGTCATGGACTCAGTTGAATCACGTGGCAATCAGTTACCGACGGAGTGCCGATGAAAGGTGGTCATCCCCTCTGGTGTATGCAGCTTGACTCTGATCACGCAACTGTGCGGGCCTGACTACCATTACACCTGCTAAACCAGAGCAGTTCCATTAAAGTCCGACAAGTCTCAGTAGCTGAAGGGTATCGAGCTGATCTGACTAGAAAGCTACCGGAAGAATGATGAAGGTTGCTTGGAGGCTGAAATTAAATGGGTTAAAGAAACGATGCTCTCAGCTTTCAGAACTGTTTGTCCCAGCCATCCGACTCAACTAAATGAACACTGGATATCGTCGCGATCAGCGGATCTTTCTGCGATCAGAAAGGCCATACCAGCGACTAGAGACTGTGATACCGCACGCAGATCCCTTGAACCCCAGATAATCAGGAGCTTGAAGAGCGACAGAGAACGCTAGTGGGTTTCGGAGGCCGATAACATGGAAAAGGCTTTCGCTGCAGGCAACAGCCGCGACCCATTTTAGCTGATTTGATCAACCGGTCCAAAAGCAAGCCGTGTCAGTGAAAAAAATATGCGAAAACGAGGGACCAGCAATTCACTCCCTCAGTAGTTGTCTTGAGAGGAGGCTGAGCACTTTAAAGAACATTTCAGCTGGTCTCCTTCAACGTAACTACTAGAAGAACCCAGCGGGTCTGAATGGAGCAGGGTGAGATATCAATCTTCAAGCATGACGATGCACCTGACGTGGATAGTCTATACCCCGCGCTCTTCGTAGAGAGTGGCGAGGTCCTGGTGAACAGCCTAACATCCACACTGCAGAAGATTTGAAACAAAAACAGAACAAAAGCCGAATGGAGATCCTCGACCAGCGTCCCAGTTTTCATAACATGGCGTAGGAACGTCACGCGAAAAACAACAGCCTGATTTCCGTCGCATCTAAGGTGCTCTTTAGCAGTACTTCGTGTAGGTTGATCGATTATCTGGAGAGACAGATTGGTGAGAATCAGGCTAGATTTCACCCTGGCCAATCATCCATCGCCCATATCTTTACCTAGAGACATTCTTGAACAGCGCCACTCTTTCAAACATCCCTCATTGATCGTGATTCTTCATATGAAGTTTGCTTTCGACGCTGTCGACCGAAACTTTGGCAGTGTCTCGCGATCAGAAGTGTCCCTTCCAAATTTATATCCTTTATGAGGATACTGTATTCGAACTCCTGTGGACAGTTACGAATATACGGCAAACTTTTGCCTGAGTTTACCACGCCCAGTGTAACACAAGGTTGTCGTCTGTCACTTTCCAACCTCAACCTTGGCTTGTTCGCTGAGCTGGGTAATTTGATAGCAGAAGTTTCATCACCAATCGAGGTGACATCACCAGTGCGTTATTGGAGAGCGTAGTGGTGCGTACCTGTGGGTTAGTGGTTGTGCCAACTATGCTGTCTGATCTACCAACATTTTTCTCTATAGAAAACTTCTACCTTGTTATTGATGTGCTGCTTGGGATTTCTCTACCTGCCTCCGAAACCTCGGGAGTCGAAATGCTTCCGGGACGTTTCCTCAAAGACATTGAGTATGCGGACTATATTGCTCTGCTTGGTTCAGATCCTTCAAAAATGCAAGCCATTTTAAATAACTCTGCCGCACGGTTTGGCATGCGCTTCACATTCGCAAAGTGTAAAGCGCTGCTAGAAATCTGGGTTTGATCGAACCCAAACCTCATGCTTGCAGGCGAGCCAATCGATGTGGTACACAAATTTGTTTACCTGGGCAGCTGTATGAGTTCCGGTGGACTAGCTGCGGATGGGACTATTTATCCAATCAGAAAAGGCAGGGCAGCTTTCGCCAACCTCCAACACCGCGCCGACGTGACGTGGGTTTGTCTGTCAAAGGCAGAGATTATAATGCAACGTTGCGATCCATGCTGCTCTACAGATCAGAGACATCGCCCGCCGCGCAAAAGATAAACGAAAGATGTCAGTGTTTGGACATCGGTGTCTGCGAGGTATTGGTCGGGTCTGGTAGGAACATCGGATTATTAATGCTACGGTATGCCACATGATCCTAGGAAGAAGCGACTCACCCACGATCGATGAATTACTCACGCTTCATGGGTTACGCTAGCTGGAACATGTACTACGGATGCCAGAAGACTATCTGGATCGCAGAGGTCTTTTCGCCCGGCCCTGTGCTGAGCGGAAGCGACCACTAACCAGTGAAATTGGTCGGATCGACAACTGCCACTTTTCTGGATGAGGAACCAGGGGTTCAGCTCAGCGATGGTTAATGACACTCACAGAAATGGCCCAATCGCGCAGTCAGTTGCGCTCATGTATCAAAGCTATCGCCTTCATTGCATAGCTGAAGGCGATTACTCCTCAAGTAACCAAACATTTCATCGCATCCAAGGCTTGGTCTCCCACACTGTCCCACTTTACGGCCATCGAAACTGAAGAACTTAGTATGTTGTGCCAATGGAACAAGGCTTTATCATCATCATCACTGTCAGCTGTAATAACCGCGTACTTGTCGTACAGTGGTTGTAGCTGCCGCAGTTTCGTTCACCGATGATTCGGGGAGATGGGGTAGATTGCTGCGCATTGGAGGCGGGAGCTGATAAGTTAGTGCGTAAATACAGCGCTGTAGGTGGACTGTTAAGTGGGGGAATGGGAAGGGAGTTATGCATTGAAGGCAATAGCTTGAATGCACGAGCGCCATTGAGGGCGCGACTGGCCCATGTCTGACAATGCCTCCAACCATTGATATGGCCTGTCTCCGGGTTCCCATCCAGGAAGGCGGCAATGACGAGCGCAGCTGAGATTTCCTGGTAATGGCTTTTATACTTCGCTGCCAAGTCATTGGTTGAGCGCCTCTAGCTCTCTTCCAACCTTCACATGGTTGGGCGAAAAGAGCCCTTCGAGGAAGTCGGTCGACTGGCATACGCAGCACGCGGCCAAGCCAGCGCAAACTGTGCAGTGTGATCAGTTCATCTATCGGGGGTGAGTTATTTCTCCCAAATACCATTCGACGTACTTCAGAATTACTGATCCGGTGTTCCCACCAGATTCGGGCAATGCTCCGAAGACATCGATGGTCAAACACTGAAAGTCTTTTGACGTCCTCGGCGCGCAGCGACCAGGTTTCTGATCCATATAGTAATATGGAGCGCACCG